TATCTGTTATTACTTGCTATCCAATTTTTTATAGCATATTTATAACAGGAAAGTTTAAATATCCTTAATGTAATCTGGTAACATATTGGATAATCTTGGAGCAAAATAATTGGTACAACGTTGACCAACAGTCTTTGAAGCTATTGGAAGGTAAGTGCATTTACCTCTAGTAGGGTAATTATGTTGAGGAGAAGTTACTTGAATTTTTCTTTTAAAAGTGTTTAAAAGAATGTTTTGGCAGTATAGCTGTCTCATATCAAAAAATGTACTTTCACTGAATAATGCGTCACTCGGATTAAGCTACAGGTTTTTTAAATATAAGCTTGATTAGCCATTTTTGTATATTTTTTAACTGCTTTAAATGACAGTCTGCCACACCACCCCACCCAACAATACCATAAGTAAGATGCGATTGTACCAGAGACAAATATAAAGTTTTCAGCTGATCTTCATTTAAAAAGTCGCGTAAGTACTTAAATTTATGTAACAAACCTCTAAGTTTATGAGTAATATTTTTAATTTGTAGATCCCATTTCAAATGCCTATCTAAAGTGATACCTAGGTACTTAATTGACGATGCTTCAGGTATTTGAGTTTTGTCATCTATATGCATTGGGCCAAAACTCGGCAAATTATTTACATAAGAGGTAAATGGTAAATATTTCGTTTTTTCGGTATTTAATGTTAGTTTATTGAGTTGAAACCATTTTTTAACTGCTTTAAAATCATCTTGAATTTCTGTTTTTAGCGTGTGCCAGGTCTTTGAGCTATAAGTTATGACAGTATCATCGCCGAAACTGATTATTTCTCCATTTGTATGTAATGTCATCAAGCTATTTATATATATATATATATATATATATATATATATATATATATATATATATATATATATATAGTGAATAGAAGAGGTCACAGTACAGTCCCTTGCGGAACGCCGTAGGTAATTGTTTTTGGATCACTGAATTGATGTTCACGTACTGCGTTCTATTTTTTAAATAACTTTCTAAAACATTATATATTTTTCCACGAAATCCATAACATTTAATTTTTTCTAGTAAACGCATGTGACATACCGTATCAAACGCTTTTGAGAGGTCAACAAAAATGCAAATTGCAGGTGTTTTTGTATCTAAAGTATGGTATAGTTTGGAGATTAGAGCATGTATTGCATCTTCCGTCGACCTTTTTTCTCTAAAGCCATACTGATTATCATTTACGACTTTGAATTTGTTTAAAAATTTTGTTATTTTCAATTTAAGGATTTTTTCATATATTTTCGAAAAAATTGACAACAATGATATAGGTCGATAATTTTGAGTCAACGTTTTGTCACCTGTTTTATAGAGCGGTTTGATAATTCCAATTTTTAGGCATTCTGGAAAGCATTCGTCATTAAAGTTTTTATTTATTAGAAAGGTTAGGGGTTGTAAAATTTCATTTTTAATTTCCTTAATTGTTTCAGCTCTTATTTTGTCCTATCCGGGCGCTTTTTTAGATTTTAATGTATTACCCCAGTATATGTATCAATTAGTACTGTAGAAATTTTAGTTGACACTTGACGTTTTCAGGATATGAAAAGTTTTCTTTACATAGACTTGTTATATCCTTCGAGCATATATATTTCATAAAGTCCGCATCCAATAGGGTTTGTTTACGTTATGAGGGGAAATGCCTGTACACTATTACCAGTGTCGCATCATTTTTACCGGGTTTGCAGTTAATATAAATAATAAATTTGATACATACCTTCAAAATTCTTTAAATTATGCACATATTTTATTAACTTGTTTTATTTAAGTAGGTACCTATCTAGTAATAGTAAATAATTATTATTATTACTATTATTTTTTTTTTTGTAGCTCGATATTGATTGTTGTGTTTTTACAGGCATGCATCGGCCTTCACGGCAAGACACATGTTCTGCGGTAACGTTTCTAGAAATGTTCTGACTATATGTGCTGTGTCTATGATTACCGACTTTTGCATTAGGTGGTAAGTATTTGCTGGGATACCCCGTTTTAATAGGTACCCTTTGAGGTTTGTAGGTACCAGTCCCATAGCAGAGATAATAAGCGGGATAACTTCTACGCGTTCCAATTTCCAAAGGCCCTTAATTTCTCGACATAATGGTAGGTATTTGTCTATTTTTTCTTTTATTTTTGTGTCCATATTGTTGTTGTTTAGTATTGATACATCTACCGCCGTTTTGTCCCGTTTGTTGTCAATTGTTATGTCTGGTCTAGTATCTTCTACTGTCCTATCTGTGAGCAATGTCTTGTACTATTATTATTATTATTATTATTATTATTATTATTTGTATTAGAAACATCAGATTTTTTTAATTCAAACATCAGAAAGTGTAAAACGGAAAATGAAGGTTGAAATAATAGGCAGTAAAGAAGATAAAAAGTTTATATTTAAAAATCAAAAATATAAATAAATAGGTATATTATACAAAGATTTATGATATCTCTTAGGTTAGGTTATGCTTATAATTTATCATACGTTAAACCATTCAATGTCATCAGAATCATACTCTTCATCGTCTTGCTCTTGCTCTATTCCTTCCCCTCCTCCACGCGTTCCTTCCCCCTGTTTCTCCAACCCCTGTGTTGCTGTCTCGACAGCTATTTCACCCTTCTCCCCTTCAACCCCTTCTGGGTCACGATCCATCTCTAATTCTTCCGGGAAAATACCTTCATTTTTGTTATAATTAAAACACTGTGTCGACTGACACGAACCATAGACAGGCGAATTACAACAAATTTATAGACTTTATTTTAAATCAACCAAACCCTTTTCTGTTCCCAACAAACGAAAAACAAATTCTTGAAAATTCAAGAATGACGTCGAATTTTTCACTTTAAAAACTTCTTTTTTTTTAACAACTTAATTGATAATAATAAAATACTATCAATATTTTTCTAAAATACTATCAATAATACCGACAATAACGACTCCAAAAACAACAGAGATTGTATACCAACAAAAGCAGACGATTAAGGTGAGCGCGCAGCGCGTGGGTACACGTGGTTAGGTTATGATGGAATATCATGGATCTCAGGCGGAGAGCGTAAAAATGGGGAAAATAATTCTAACAAACAATTAAGAACCACGCTCACATACGGGGATCAATTGATAGAAATGGAAAGGTGAGAATATCAGCTTCACTTCGGTCTGGGTTTTAATGTTCAAAAAATGAACAGCGGGGAACAAGAAGTATTTAAAAAAAAGTCCGGTTTTCCCCGGTGTGATCAATTTTCCCGATTTCTGGAAAATGGAGCAACTTTATTAAAAAAAAATACATTCGAAAAGTAGACACTCTAAGCTTTAAAATGGTGTGCATTGAATAACAATATAATGAAATATGAGTTTTTAATCACTGCTTGTTTCAAAGATTTCTAGAACTCCGAAAACGTATAAAAAAATGCAAATAAACAAATCAGATACTGGAAAAAAATTTCTGAGATCATTCGGGACATCTCAAGATCCCATTTAAAATAAAAATGGGATAAAAAACTATTAAAAGAAAAAAAAATATGAATGAATTACTATAAAGTGGTCCAAAATAGTGGGTAAAACGCAACTTTGACCCCTTTTTCAATGTTCTTGACAGGAAATAACGGGCCTTAAGGCACATGGATCGATACCTATGGGCTTTCCCATTGTAATGAACTTTGAATCATCAAAAAATATCAATTTTTGACCGAGTTCTGAAACAATTTGTCCACCCGTTTACAAGCTGATTAGCATTGCTATAGAGATAAAGAAGGGGCTGAACGAGGGGACTTTTGATTGACATGACATTGACATGACGTTCTGGAAAGAATTGTTGCAGTTGTCAAATTTTTATCCAGACAATGTCTAGCATTCCAAGTTTCTTCTAAAATACTTTTTGAATTTGATAATGAAAACTTCCTCAAAGCTGTCGAAATGATTTCCTCTTTTAATCCTGTGATGAGAGAGCACATTAGTCGAGTGCAAAACTCACAAACAAATTCTTTAAAAATGGCCCATTATACAAGAAATACAAGAAATTTAAAAACAAACCTTTATATCTAGTGAACTTAATTTAGTAAATCCTCAACTTTCTTAGGCTAACATTAAAGATATATATTTGGATCTCGCTAAGAAACTTATTGGTAACAGTCAGTGGCGTGCTAAGGTCTTCGATGGCCTCACCGCAATTTTTTTAACCAAAAAAATTAATATATTGCCTATACTGGGTGAGAACGATACTACTGTCTACAGCAGCTATACTCAACCTTTTGTTCTTTCGGGCCACATACATTTGTTTGTTATGCTACACGGGCCACAATATCACAATATTTTTGGGTGATGATAACCAGAGTTAAATACAGGTCAGCCAAATATCTGAGGAGTACCTCTGAATTTAACGTTGTTTTCATGTCACCAGAAAGTCAAGTACAGGTCTGGTTAATCCCTGAGGAGTACCTCTGAACTTCTCTACTGTTTTTATTTAATAACAAAGTTAAGTACAGATTAATATCCGAGGAGCACCTCTAAAATTCCATTTAACCCTTTTGCTTTTGTGAGTAAAAAAGTTATGTACCGCTGGCGCTCCTCCAGGCATGACGATTTGAGTCTCCTTGAGTGTCTAGTATGATCAGATGTTGCTGTTGGCTGATACTCACGCATTGTGTTCTATCGGTAATCACTTGGTAACTAAATAATTATTTAACATATGTATATCACTTAAAATATACAATTTTGCCCACTCTTTCTTGTTTGTATCTTGTATTTATTCTATTTGTACATGTAATTTTATTTCTACACATAAATTAAATAATTATCTAGGCTAGTTTTCATAGGCAATTTAAAATATAACCTCGAATCTAACCATTTAATATGAAACACTGAGAAATTTTATTATAATTAAAGCTCTACTTAGTATAAAATAAATATCAGAGAAACAAACATGTTTGTTTTTGTATTGCTGCAATAATTAAATGCAGATAAGGTAATTATTTATCAAGTAAAGCGTTCAATGCAAAGCTAGTTGATTGTTAACAATTATCGAATGAAAGTGAAATTAATAAAATCAAAAACAGTATCAAGAATTTAAAATTCAGGAAAAAAATGGAACTATCGACTGTGACATACTATTTAATTATTTCAGTGACTTTGATTTATTTTTTCTCAAAATACAAATTTTCTTACTGGAGTAAAAAGAAAGTGTTATACCCAGAACCAACTTTTCCCTATGGAAATTTAAAACAAACATTAAAAGAAAACGTACCTTTCAGTTCTATAATTTCTCAAAGTTATGATAAAGCCAAAAGTAAAGGTCACAAGTTTTTCGGTGTATACAAATTCTGGATTCCATCGTTTGTACCAGTCGATTTGGATTTGATAAAATTGATTTTACACAAGGATTTCACCTATTTTACCGATCGTGGTGTGTTTGTGGATGAAGAAAATGACCCACTAACGGGAAATTTGTTTAACTTACAAGAACACAAGTGGAGGAATATGAGGCAAAAGTTAACTCCAACATTTACTTCAGGTATATATTTTTTACTTTACTTATTTTCAAACTATATTCAGATGGATAAAGAATAGTTATTTATGCAACAAGTGTGTAAAGTAACCTTTTGACATGAGTCAAAAAAGGGACTTCACACACGAATTGCATACAATATTTTTTCTACTGCACTTGTTAAAACATAATCCTTTAGTTTGATCCATGCTAGAGTTTTCTGTGGTTTCAGAAACTAATTTCGTAGCATTACTAACAACATTAACATTAGGTACATAGTCGGATCAGGCAATTAAAGATAATTTGCTATAATAAATGGCATTTTGCTAAATGTATTTATGCCAACTAGCTGTTTGGTGCACTTATTGTTTCCATATTTCAAAAAGAATCTGGAAGTCGCCATCATAGGAGGTCTTAAGGCAATATATTTTTTAATATAAGATAAATAATCAATTTTTAAATTGGTGGGATTTAAAATAGTAAAAATTCTTTCCGTTCCATTTTTAGTTTAAGGAATTCTAATAATAAGTACTGTTTCTTTGACTTCGATTTCATCATAATATTTTAAATTTGTCAACTCGTCTCTTCGGCATGCGCTGGAAATGTCATTTATAAATGGCACCTGGAAAAAACAATATTGATGACTTTATTACTCACTTCAGTAGAAAAAAAGTTTCTTTGGCGCGGATTTGAACCCGGGATCTTCGTCACCGGAGACAAGCATTTTACCACTGCCACTACTACCAAATTTGACAATTATCTTTACGCATCAGTGCATAAATAAAACAGTTTACACACTAGTGCCTGAAGTAATGTTTTACGAACTCTGTAGCATGCAAAATGATAGTACTTTAAGAACGGAAATAGATAAAATATTTGTTTATATCATTTACTCACTTATAAGAGCAACCTACGTATATGAAAATTTAAAAAAGATAATCAAAATATAATTAAATCAATTATTTTACGGTTGACCTTCACTGCTATGATTCTGTTATCAATTAAAGCTATTTACCTATAAAATTTGCGCATATATAATTGTATTCAACAAAAAAAAAATGTTTACGGGTCTCTATCAACCTTAAAAGTGTAATCTTCCAAGTGTAAAGCTTTTCTTGAATGTAGATAATAAGTTCGTTCTGTGTGGTTTATCAAAAACCTACTACGTCTAAGCCAACCCTATTCAATTATATGAATTCCTTTCTTATCTACCTATTTAACGACCTGTTGAACTTCGGATTCTATTAGCATCAGCATACAATTTTAACTTATATATTAAATATTTAATTAATTATCTGACTATTAGATTTTTTTACACAGACTCACTTAGTACCTTATACATCTACTGATCATTTTTTGATGAATTTTATTCTAGTAGTTTCCCAGTTATATGAGTTTAATTATAGATCAGGTATCATTGAACTTTTCCAATCGAAAAAAAATATATATTTTGTTCTACACTCACATATACAGGGTGAGGCACCGAAAACGAAACAGATCGCATATCATGGACACATTTTTTTTGGAGAAAATGTAAAAAGAGGTCGATTTTTATTTCAAAGGAGACATCTTTCGATCATATCCTTAACTATCCTATATCCCTCTCCACTCCAAGAGAATTTATTGAATGGCCTCCACGATCTCCTGATCTGTCTCCCTTAGATTACTTTTTATGGGGATATCTGAAAATATACGCCACTCAGCCAGAATCCTTAGAAGAGTTACGTGAACGTGGATTAAGTACTTTATTTCATATCAAAACTTTTTTTCGAGATGAACTTTTATGAAATCCTTGTTTTATTAAATTTTTTTTATTCTTGAATTTTTTTCCCAAAACCAATAGCTTCAGAGAAAAAAATTAACACCCTAATTTATAATTTTTTTTAATAAAACAGTTTTTTTTTCTATGAAGGTATTGGTTTTGGAAAAATTTTTTTAAATAAAACAAGTATTTCAAAATTATTTCATAAAAGTTCATCTCGAAAAAAAGTTTTGATATGAAATAAAGTAAGGGTTGCTAATTTCACGCTCCTATAATGTAACAGGATAATTGAAAAAATAACCGTGGTTAGTCCTTTGCGAGTGCACGAAAATTACAGAATTTCAAGTTTCTAGCTTCACTGAAATTTTAGAAAAAAAATAGAAACTCAATTTTAGTCACCATCTCTTAAGGGTGATATCTCGGAAAGAGGAGGGCTGAGGAAATTTTGTTATAGGAAACACCCATCTTAATTTCATACGAGCAATCACCTGAAATTTGTCCCATGAATTTTGAAACACCTTGTATGTTGGTATATTAAGGTGAATGCAGCAGCCTTTATAATTTTCGGACAAGGATATTTCAAAAAGTAATTTTATTTAAAAATTTAAATTTTAGCAAATTAAATAAGGTAATATTAACTAGATATACCTATATTTTAAAGTTTTAATTCCTTTCAGTTTCCGGGAAAAAAAAATCAAATATGATAATGAAAATAAATGCATTCTTCAACAGCACTATTCTTAATATAATCCCGAAATTTAAACTCTTAATGTCTTGGTAATGATTTTTTAAAATTCGTCAAAATTAGTGGCTAAAACGCCTCGTTATGTGCTGCCTTCGGGTGTAACGCGCTTGTAACTATCGTATCGTACACTCTGTCATTATTCGTTTCTTGCAACAATTTACACCAGTTTACACCAGAAGATAGCACTTAACGAAGCGTTTTAGCCACTAATTTTGGCGAATTTTAAGAAATCATTAATAAGACATTAGGAGCTTAAATTTGGGGATTATATTAAGAATAGTGCTGTCGAGAAATGCATTTATTTTCATTATGATATTTCAAAATTAAAGCCCTTTTAGTTTTTTTGGGAAACTGGAAGGAATTTAAACATTAAAATATATGCATATTATAGATATTATTGCCTAATTTATTTTGCCAAAATTTAAATATTTTAAGATATTCTTGTCCGAAAATTATAAGGGGTATAAACACCTTAAGATTGAAAGAGACTTAGCTTTAATTCATGAGATGCAAAGCATCATAATTGTCGCGTCACAAAAACCACCTGCTGCCAAGAGAAAATTTTGATTCAACAGTATTGTAAATTTTGTGTTGTAAAAGAGAAAAAATTAACATTTCGTGTTTTAATAGTTATTTTTTTAATTTAATAATCTATGTGAAAAAAAAATTTTTTATACAGACTTTAAAAAATTGTTATATTAATATACTTATTTAATTGTACTTATATTTGTTGTTCCTTTAATACAATAAATACAATTTACCTATCTCGCATTCATCACTTTCCGTATCCATATACCTAGGGTCCGATTACAATTAGAAGAACACCGCTACGTCATAACTATTATTTCGAATTTCCAATATACAGGGTGTCCCGAAATTAGACGGTCATATTTTATATATATCATCTATAACTATCAATAAATAAAAAATATTGGAATTGTTTGATTTAAAAATAGTATTCCTACATTCCTATAATATTAACAAGCCACTAAACCCCCAGTAGGCGGCGATAGCCAACGAATTACTTCGCCAATTGATGACATACCTGTGTAATTATAATTGTAATGTAATTGTAATCGGACCCTACCCAATATGATTATTCTTCAGCGCACGATACACAACATTGCCAAATTTATGTAGCAAACAAGGTTCCAAATACTTTAAGACGTCAGAAGGGACTGGATTGCTCTTAATGAGTTTCCTAAACTTTTTTAATATGTCTCAACATAATACAATACTTAACTGCAATAACAGAATCCTTGACCTCGTTCTCTCAAACATTGATGCGTGTACTGTCTCTGAACCATCTGAACTCTCGCGACTAGTTCCACAACACCCTATTCTTTCTGTTGATATTTCCATTAAGACTACTCCAAAGACATTATTTCCATCATGTTCTAAAGAATATAATTTTAAAAAAGCTCATTTTCTCAGTTTATATCAAGATCTACTCACAATTGATTGGTCCCACCTATATCAGTTCGGCAGCGTGGATGAAACAATCAAAATGTTTTACGAAAGACTCTATAATATCTTCGACAACAATATTCCTTTAAAGATACCACCGAAAAATCATTATCCTGACTGGTTGAACTCTGAAATTGAAGTCTAAAGCATGGAATAAATACAAAAAAAGTAAAAATCCTGAACACTACATCTAATTTAGTAACCTAAGAGCTGAACTTAAGTTATATGTCTGATTCTGCTTACAAAAACTATTTGAGGACCTCCGAAGCAAACATTAAAACAAATCCCAGTTTTGGTAATTTATTAACTGAAAGTAATGTTATTATACCTGAACAACATGGATTCATCAGAGAACGTTCTACTATAACAAATCTCTTCTATTTTACACAGTTCTTGTGTGAGGCAATTGACAAAAAGAATCAGGTAGACGTAATCTATATTGATTTTTCCAAAGCCTTTGATAGGTTGGATCATGGCATATTACTAAAAAAACTTCACCAGGTCGGAATGTCTGAACAGCTAATAACTGTCATAAAATTCTATATATTTGGACGCACCCAATTTGTTCAATGTCTGGGTCTCAAATCGCGTGTATTTTCTAAAACTTCCGGAGTTCCTCAAGGCTCTATTTTGGATCCTCTTCCCTTCAATATTTTTGTTAACGATATCGTAACTAATATTGATGTAAAATATTTACTATATGCTGATGATTTAAAACTATTCCACATTAACCTATTAAATGATTGGTGCGCTGCCAACAAATTGTCTCTAAATGCCAATAAATGCAACATAATGAAGAGTCAATCATGCAATTTAATAATTATATACTTCACGATAATTAGAACGAAAACTAAAACTTTCTTTACACACTAGTGCGTGAAGAAAATACGAATAATTTTATTAACAAATAAATGCTGCTTTGAAATTTGTTATAAAATTGGTTGCGTTACTATGGAAACGTTAATGTTGAATTGTCAAACTAAAGAAAAAGTCAAGATTTCCTAACTGTTAGGAAATATTCATTGACTTTTTCTTTAAGAAATTTTGTTTGGAATGTCAAAATTTCCTATCGAATTATGGAAAAGAATTTTTTTTTTTTTTAGGTAAAATGAAGATGATGTTCCAAACGATGGTGGTATGTACCAAACATCTAGACGAAATCTTAAAAGAATATGCATCTATAAACGAACCTGTAGAATTTAAAGATCTACTAGCCCGATTCACTACAGACATCATCGGAAACGTAGGATTTGGTATTGAGATCAACAGCATGAAAGATCCCGATTCGGAATTCAGAAAGGAAGGAATTAAAGCATTTGAATTCTCTATTAGTGCAAAAATTAAGTTATTCCTTATCATGGTGTTACCACCATGGCTTTTAAAAAAGTTTAACATATCATTCCATTCCGCCAAAAGCATAAATTTCTTTATAAATCTAGTAGAAAAAACCGTAGCTTATAGAGAGAAAAATAACGTTTTTCGAAAAGATTTCATTCATTTGATGATACAGTTGAAAAATTTCGGACGAGTTACTGATTTAGACGAAAGCACTTTGATGAATAAAGAGAAACCAAGTGTTGAAGGTATCACGATAAACGAAATGGCTGCACAGGCGTTCGTTTTCTTTTTAGCAGGCTTCGAAACATCTGCCACAACTATGACTTTCGCTCTTATAGAGTTAGGACAAAATATGGATATCCAGGAAAAAGTTAGAGAGGAAATAAAGAGGATCATTGAAAAATATAATAATGAAATAACTTACGATGGGATAATGGAAATGGAGTATCTTGAAAAAGTCGTTTCAGGTAAAAATATTTGTTTTATTGCATCGCTATGTAGATTTGTAGATCAATAGTATCGATATTATAAAGATGTGTTCCTTAGGATTTGATGTGTGCCGTATTAATAGAAATTCAATTTCTATTGATATGACATGCAGATTATAACATCGCCATACATTATCGTCTCGATGATGGTGGGTGAGGTTTTCCGGGTTTTCCTCACCTGTAAGTCAAATGGCACCATCAATCATCCTTAAGTCGCCCCGGAGCGCCACGGCAAATAATAATAATAGCCGTCCCTTCTCAGTCGACTTCAGGGGTTGAAATTCACTCGTAAGGGGGTGAATTAGGGAGAGTATTATTATTATTATTATTTTTGAATTATTAAAGATATTTAACTGCACAAATGAAATAAATTACACAAAATCAATACCATATATTAAAACATTCTAAACCAGGCCAAAAATGAACAGAAAGGACACCGAAGTATCATTACAGAAAATGACCTTCTATCAAGTCTGCTGAATTTTATAGGCCAGTCATTACAGATAAATCAATACACGTTAACTACAAAAGTTTTCTAACTTCGTTAGAATCTTTATTGAATTGAAATAATTGCAAATTTAATTTTGTAACTTTTTCTAAAAAAAAGATAAAAATATAAACATAGATATATGTATAACTTAAATAGATAAAAAATAATGATATAACATAGATATAAAATAGATAGATATTACATATTGTAATGATATCGCACCGGATACTATTTCCTTTTTCGTATTAATTAAAATATAATATTACCTTTTTTTTATCTCAGGGGTGCTTCAAATTATAATATTAATACTGTTTTATTTTGCTCAATCTTATTATATGAATTCTATTTTAATTTTGTTTTAATTTTCTTTCAACTTAATTTTAATTTTATTTCAATTGTATTTTAATTTATTAATAATCAACAAAATAAAAATTTATGACTTAACTTGTTTTATACCCTGTATTTTCAAATAAAATAAACACATGTTCAAAACCAAAATACAAGATTTATTTTTTAGACACAGTATCAATCCTTCAATTAACAAAATGCCCCGCTATTTAAATTCATGGGGGTTATAGTGTCCTATATTACTAAAACTACTCTAAATCCATTCGCTCTTCATTCATCCTCACTAAACTATATACTAAAATTAAATTCTACAAAAAAAAATAACTATAAATGTCTTTTCAAACACAACTACTTAATTCTTCAAAATATCCTAATTAGTTTATAAAATTACTCACTGTTCAACTCGAAAGTGTCTATTTCTACAAGTAGGTATTCTATTATATGTATAGATAAAATTACTTTATGAATATAATTCTATACAATAGTAAATGACCAAAAATATAGTCAATAGCGAAACAAATAATAATAACAATAACGTATTTATCCACGATAAGGCAATAAACCACAAAATATTTAAAATAATTTCCTAAAAAAAGTTAAGGCGGTTAACGTGTTAAAATTCATAATTCCATAATAATTAAAAGGTATCTATCATTAAAGATAAACAACAAAAAACGCGATCAAATAGATAAAAATATTCGCAGACATTCAAGTTCAAACAATTCAAATTTTAATTAAGCAAAAACCAATACCCGAAAAAATCAATGATGACCTTCAAAAAATATTAATTAATTATTTACAATTTATTATGGGTACAACATGACAAATATTCAATGAGTCTCAAGCAAAAAAATATACCAGGTATCACTACTATAAATAATGCCGATAGAATTCAGTAATAATTTTAATAAATGTCATCGATTGAAATTAATCTAATTTCTCACAAAAAATTGTTGTCAAGGTACCTAAAGGAACCAATTTGTTCGCAAATTAATTTTTGGTTGTTTGACAGTTTGTTAGAGTCGGCGTAACCAAAATATTAACACTATTTGGCTGTCATGGGATTTTTTAATGTCAAGTAATAGTCATTTTATGGAAAGCGCCTAAAATACAAACTCAAATCATTTAAATTTCATAGCCATAATTGTTCTACTGGGATCATCTTGTAGAACAATTAAAATTGCATTTCTTACCTTGTGACTATCAATATAATTTAGAATTAGAGATTCAAAATAGAAAACAACTTTATTCTGAAAGTACAACATTACACATTCTTACATGGAAAAACTTGTTAAAAGATGAACTATCTTACCAGTAGAATGTAGAAGATTAAATATTATTAAAAAAAATCTTTTACCTATATTTATTTCTCAGTTAGCGTTGCAAGAACCTAAGACTATTGATGAATTGTCAATTTTATGTAAGAAGCTAGAAGATGCTCAAAGTTTATCTCAAAATTGTACACATCCCAATGTAAATAATACTGCTGCTCTTGGTAGTAACGATTTTTCAACTAATACTAACTAGTACCGTAGTAACAATAGTCAATTAAATAATACTAGATTAGCTGATGTTTCTTGTTATAACTGTGGTAAAGTTGGACATACTTATTCAACATTCAAATGAAACTGTAGTGAATTGTCCTAATTGTTCAAAAAAACGAACTACAAGCTGTACCTCAAGGTCTGGCTACGGGACGCAGCCTTACAAATGTTCAAAATATGCCAGGACCATCTCGAAAACACAATTCACAAGGTACAGGAAACTGGAAACAAAATTACCTTCTATAACGGAATGTAAACAATACCTAACTTTTGTTAACTCCAATTATTTATTTTTTTAACATTTTATTTACAGAAACACTTAGAAAACATCCACCTCTTCCTCTAATACCACGCACTTGCACCAAGGACTATAACATTCCAGGTACTGATGTGGTAATAGAATCTGGTACTACTGTTGAAATTCCTACTCTATCTATTCAAAGGGATCCAGAATATTATCCAGATCCAGATAAATTTGATCCAGAAAGATTCAACGCGGAAAATAAGGCGAATAGACATCCCTATGCGTATATACCTTTTGGAGAAGGACCTAGAATTTGTATAGGTAATTGTTTTTTAGTATATCACCTTGAAAATATTCTACTCTTTACGAAAAAGTTGCTTTTGGTTCTTTTTTGTTTTTTTTTTTCAATACTTTATACATAAGTAATTAATTTTTATTCAGCAAAGCTAAATGATTTGTTTATTGTAAATATACTTATATAATCTACATGTATCTATATAATTTTTTGTCTTCTATTTTAGGAGTAAGACTTGGAAAACTGCAAGTTAAAGTTGGACTGTGTTCAATTCTAAGCAAATACCGAATAACTATTAACAAAAAAACTGCATTACCGATCAAATATAATCCTGGATTAATTTCTACAGTAAAAGGAGGAGTGTATTTAAATTTGGAATCTGTATAATAGAAAATAATTTTTTAATATAGTATTATTCGTATTTTTTTGTATTTATTTTATTGAAATAAAAATCTTTAATATGAAGAGGAAGGTAAACTCGACCAACTGGTAAACATGATAAAGAGCCTTACTGACAGAAAGACGAAGACAAAGACAACCAGGTGTTGGAATTGCGGTGAACTGGGACATGTACGCAGTTCGTGCAAACGCCCTAGGGTTACAACGAATCAAGACAACACGCCACAGGAAAACTAGAGCGGATCGGCCTAGAGGGGACAGCTTCGACCCGAAACCGTTCCAAAGGCCTTCTCATACTGATAGCCTCTTCGAAATATCGCGATGATAGTGTATTCGTAAACGGCGAAGTAAATGGTAAATAGTATACACTGTTGGTGGATACTGGAGCAACTAGGGCCATTATACGACCAACAACCATAAATAACCGTAGGAGACTCCTACCAACAAGACTGCGACTACGAACTGCACAGGTAAAAGTGCAGGTTCAATTGGGAATTGGCATAGAAAAGTTCACTCATACTGTTATTGCCGCTGATATCGAAGAAGATGTTATTCTTGGAATGGATGTAATGAACTTACATGGTTTCCCGTTGGACTTTAAGAGCAGAGTGATCAAAGTTGGTGCCGAAGAGGTATTCCTACATCCATATGGGGACAGTACCGTGCCAGTTGCTGTACAGGAGGATACGGTAGTACCTGGCAGAAGTAAAACCGTTATAGTAGCACGGCTTCAAAAAACTATGGAAGAAGGAACACCTGTCATGATGAAACCTTGGAACCACGATGAAGAGGTTGGACGAGGAATTCTGATCAGAAAGGGGCTGGTCACGACTGCTAAAAAGATTCCAGTTCGTCTAATAAACGTTAATGATCACCCAATTACCATCAAGAAAGAGACAAGAATCGGAACTTGTGTACCAGTAACTTCCATAATTCGTCAGACAACTTCTGATAATTCCAATGACAAATTCAAACAAATGATTGCAGTTGCTGGTCAATCTCTAAATCAATTAGAGAAGAAGAAAATAAAAGAATTTCTTCGACGATATCGTGACATTTTTGTACCAAAAGGAGGAAAAACAGGAAGAACTTCTGTTGTAAAACATAAAATTGACACTGGTGACGCTAGGCCGATTCGGTAATCAGCTCGAAGATTACCAAAGGCCAAGAGAGAGGAATCTAAAAGGATTGTTTAGTAAATGAAGGAAGACAGGGCGATAGAACCTTCTACCAGCCCGTGGGTCTCTCCGGTAGTCCTAGTTCAGAAAAACGATGGAACTACGAGGTTCTGAGTGGATTACCGTTAGTTGAACAATGTTACCAAAAAAGACAGTTACCCTCTGCCTCGTATAGACGATACCTTGGATATATTGGCCGGAAGTAAACTATTATCTACCTTAGACTTGAAGTCTGGATACTGGCAGGTGAACCCAGTAGACATAAAAAAGATAGCTTTTACCACCGGATCTGGATTGTGGCAATTCAATATTATGCCATTTAGAGTATGTAATGCCCCCGCGACATTTGAAAGATTTATAGAAAATGTATTGAGGGGTTTATCCTGGAAAACATGCGATTTTTTATATCGGTCCGCGAAGGTCTCGTATAAATGATTATTATTTTTTTTATCACATCCTGTTTCGTTTGCAAAATACGTTTTATAACAATTTTGTATTTTTATATTAATTCCTAATATTTTTTTACAGCTTACTAATTATTATACATACCTATAGTTTCATATTAATTAATTCTCTCTCTCTCTCTCTCTCGCGCGCGCGCGCCAATTAATTATTCATTCTTCTTCGTTTTCAAGTCTGCATAGGCCTCCTCGTTGACGACCACCCGTAGGCCTTCTCCTCCTCCCCCCGACCCCCCTAGGCCTCCCAGCCAACGCGACCACCCATTGAACCATCGCTTAGCCGAGTCGCAAACCACTTAACCGAGTTTCAATTGACCACCACTGACAGGTGGCGCCAACTAGCGAAGACTTTGGAATTAGTGTTCTGATAGCCCCACATTTCTACTACTCTGGTGTATTTAGACGACATCATAGTCTTAGGGAAAATATTTGATGAACATCTAAAATCTTAGAAGGTGTTTTTAAAAGACTTTAAGCTGTGGACTACTAAGAACAACTGTAATCAACGCTAAAATAAGGAGAAGAACAACAGAACGATACCGTTTTAAAGAAGATACGACAATGGAAAGAGGAAAATCGTCGACCTACTTGGCAAGAAGTATCTAATCTCTCTCCAGTACTTAAGTCGTATTTGTCTCAGTGGGACTCCTTTATCCTGGAAGATGGCTTATTAAAGCGAGTACTTGAAAATGATGATGAACAGAAGACAGTTGGTCATTCCAAGGAGTAGAGTAGCCGAAGTACTTCGCCAGTTACACGATAGTAAATCAGGAGGACATCTCTTCAGAGAGTTCAAGAAAGGTGTTATTGGATGAATAGTTCCGATGATGTAAAGGACTGGTGTAAGAAATGTACCAGCTGTGCTATGAGCGAAAAAGGAAGGCTCCCATGAAGCAATACATTAATACAATTGATTATCTAACAATCAGTATGGATTTAGAAAAAAGAAATCTACTGAAGATGCTTTATTGGTTCTTTCCTCAGAAAATACCTTTTGCTATTTAATTTATAATGAACAAGCGATTCAAAAATTGTAACTTCAGTGCTACCTAGGGTCCAAATTGAACAACTTTCTACTACGGTAAGTTTACTTAAATCTAAAAAATATGTGGTAGGTTTTTGTAAAGACCTTTTACAGATACCCTGTATAAAACAAATTTTGAACAATACAGATTATAAATAATACAAAAAAAAAAAATTATAGACATGAAGAAAAAAAGAGAACAAATCAAATCAAATCTAATCTAAAATTTAAATATAGATAGGTAGATAATTTTTAAGTTTTGAATTTTTAAAAGAAATTGATATATAAAATTAGACATCTTATTTAATTTCCAGTTCAACATCGAAACTATGGCTATAATTGCCTTTGTTTACTTGGTTTTCTTAATAACAACCATTTACTTTATCTCATATTATAAGTTATGTTATTGGAAAAGAAGACAAACATTCCATTTAAAGCCAACATTCTTCTATGGAAATCTTAGGGACAGTATTTTAAAAAATACGCCACTTAGTTCAACAATATCGGACATTTACAAAAAGGCTCGAATCAAAGGACACAAATATTTTGGTTACTACAAATTTTGGACACCAGTCTTCGTTCCAGTTGATCTGGATTTGGTTAAATCCATTATGCAAACGGATTTTGCATATTTTCCCAACCATTATGGATTCGTCGATGAACAAAATGATCCACTCATAGGAAATTTATTTAGTTTGCATGACGATAAATGGCGACATATGAGGTCCAAGTTGTCTCCTACATTTACATCAGGTAATGAACAATATGTTTTATTAATTTTTTAATAACTGAAATAATTGACTCAAAAATATGACCAAATTCATATAATTTAGGATTAAACGGTTTATCTGTAAGAAAGTTCAATCATAATTATACGAGGTTTTGTCCACTAGAAGACATATTGTAGATACATCTGGTATATCGAATTCGTCACCAGTTTTTATAGATAAGAAAAAAACTACCTTGCTGATAAGACCCATGATACTCTCATTATGCATTTTGGTTGCCAGGTCACTAAGAAAACATATGGGTCAACTAAATAATAACTTTATAGGGAGGGTTTGGGATGTATTCTAGTGGATCGGACCTCGTATATTTATGATTAAACTTCCTTACAGGTAAGCCGTTTGATCCTAAATTATACTTTGGTCCGGTCCACTAGAACAGATAAGATTAAGATCAAAATGACATTATTTATGTTAAAATGTCATTTTAAACCTGGTTTATTTCTTAACTTCTAGCAGTAGAATTGAGTCTTAGGAAGGGTGATAGAATAGGTAGTAATAATTTGAATTAAAATATACAGGGTGGCGCATCCCATACGCGTCGCTCTCTGTAGAGAAAACGACTTAAAATCTGAATTTTTTTTCTTTATAGGAATATACAGAACTATTAACACTACAAATTAAAAATAATTTGGATTATACCCAAAAATATAAATTTATATCAAAGTTATGTTTTTTTAAAAGAAACACCTTATATTTGATGGTGTCTTTTGATTTCCCGGAAAAAATAATTTAAAGTTTCTGTAATGTTTCCTATACCTATCTTTTTTCGTTTTTAAAACATTTAAAGGATTCTTAATTTGTAAGCTTAAACAACATAACCTAGTATGTCGCGGTTATTTAAAACACATCAACAGTCACCTGCGATATGCGTATTTAAGATATTAGATTATCGAATAAAATGCAAATTTTTCCATTACATCATACAGGGTGCTCATTTAGTCTAATTGAATTCGACTTACATATGGAGTTGAATAATATTCCTATTTTAAATGGCACACCCTGTATTTAATAACATAAACTGATAGACATTCCATATAAGATTTCCCTATACCTAAATTCGATGGATATTTAGTAAATAACTGTTTTTTTATTTTTAACATACGGATTTTATTATATTATTTTTTAATCATAGTAACCATAGAGCAAATATCACTCAAAATATGGTATTGAACAAAATAAACATTTTTATCACTTTTCAATGTTAAATAGTTTCAATGTAAACCAAAATTTTTTTTATTTAAATAACCCCTTCTTCCACTTAATTTTTTTATTTGTTCAATATGTTTATAATGAAAGATAATGGTATTCAAACGTAAAACATCAATATAAAAAAAAATATATTATTAAATTATTTTATTTCAAAATCGAAACCTTAAGCTACATAACAAACCAGTAACATTGGTGATTTAAACTATGAACATATTAAAATTCAGTCTTCTATACACCTGTTGAAAGTCCAAATTTGATTCATTATAACCTCTTATTCCCTAAGATTAATCGTCAGCTGCTATTCGTGCTCACTTATAAAGTTTCTGTAAAACCACTGGTGCTCATCAGGGACAAACTGTAGTTGCTGTTTCAAATTTTCAATTTATTATTTGGAAACCACATTTTTTTTATTCGGGTTTCGTACAATAACTATATTGTCAATGTTGGGGTATTACATTCATCTCTTGGGTGATATTGACTCGTTTAAATGGAGTATAGTAATCATAACACTCTTTGAACATGTACGATCCATAATTTTCTACTCGAAATCACTTGATACCATCTCTGAATCTAACTTTTTCCTTAAGAAGATCTTTCTTCCTATTGTACAACTTCATATATCTTTCCAAGTTTACTGTGACTCTAAAATTTTTCCTACCAGATTTTGTTATTGAATTGTTTTGGGGTAAAAAGAACTTAGTGATTTCTAAGGTTCTTTTCAATCATCCCAAAATCACAGTTTGAGTCAAGATACGTATGTCCAAATTCTGGATATTTGTGTTCAATAACTTTGAACATATTCCTGTGTACAAAGTACTGGTATAGACAAATTAATAAAAAGTTTTTATTTTGACCACCGCAAGAGTCAGACCATATGATTAAATGATCTTTGGAGTGAAGTATTTTGATTCCACCGCTGTCAGTAATAAACAAAATATGTCTGTACTTCCTTTGGAGCCCTGATTTTCGGTCCATGTACAATAGATTGACTTACTAACACCTTTAGCTTCAATATGGATTCCAAAATTGTAGAACCAGAGTTGTCTGAGGTAGAACGCCTTTGAGGTAGTCAGCCTAGGTAAAGGGATGGTTTGCTGAGGTCAATAGTAATGTAATCCACATTATCTGATGTCTGGGCCAGCTCTCGGTCAATTTTCATTGATTCAAAAGCTGTATGATAGTTTTTATGTTTAGCTACGGTATGAGCAGAGTTTGATGCGGAACATCTCAGGTTTATTTTCAGTCATACATAGCTGAAGATATAGATCGAACATTTTGGTCACTGACAGCAGAGGGGAAAGGTACTTTTTATTTATGTTGGAAGTCCTGGAATAATGAGAAAATTCGACTGGAAAACTAGCAATGTGCCCCACTACATAATCTTTTACCTCATCTTTTATTTTATTTGGTCTACTGCAATGATGACCTCTTTTATCGAGACTAAGAGCTGCTGATCCTTCCTTTAGATTTTTTGAATGATTTTTATTTTCTTTTTACTGACTTGGTATAATGATATGAGTGCTCTTTTGCAAACCTAGGTTTGTTTTTTCTCAAATGTTAAATAGTACTGATATTTTACAGTTGCCATTTAAAATAAGAATATGTAAGTTGAGTTCAATTAGACTAAATGAACACCCTGTATGATGTAATGGAAAAATTTGCATTTTATTCGATGGTCTAATATCTTGGCTACGCATATCGCAAATGACTGTTAATGTGTTTTAAATACTACATACTAGATTATGTTGCTCAAACTTACAAATTAAGAATCCTTTAAATGTTTCAAAAACGAAAAAAGATAGGTATATGAAACATTACAGAAACTTTACTTTATTTTTTCCGGAGAATCAAAAGACACCATGTTCCCTTTAAAAAATCATAATTTTGATATACATTCCTATTTTTGGGTCACCCTGTATAATCCAAATTATTTTTAGTTTGTAATGTTAATGGCCCTGTATATCACTATTAAGAAAAAAATTCAAATTTTAAGTCGTTTTCCCTACAGAGACCGACCCGTATAGAATGCGCCACCCTGTACATTTTGTTCAATTTTCGAAATGATCTTTATTTTTCCCTGATTAATTAAACGTCAAATATCTTATAGTTTAGATAAATATTTACACTTTTCTTCCTCACTGTAAACTACCTATTTGGATTATTTTATCATCAAACATAATAGTTGTGATTTTCATAGCTTTTACTTTAATAATGTTATCTTTTTCATATTTACATTATCAACGTTAAATTACTCGAGAACAGTCGGTATAAGATAGGGTAATCAATAATATTATACATTTTTGAAATTAGAAAAAAAATTTATATAGGATCCCAGAAATTTAATAACATAGAGCGTAACCCATTTAAAAAAGTAATTTTTTTTTCCCACAAGAAACCAACGAGCATGTTTAAAGATTAGGTTAGATTGTGTGATATTCACATCCGTCATTTTCTTCTTTTCTTCTTCAGTTGCTTCACAACAGTTAACCCAGTCATTTCTTCTTCTTTCTTCTTCCTACAACATCACATACCCTTGGTGATTGGTTCATGGCCCAAATCTTATATAATAAATATTTCTTCACTCATGGTTTACATCTTATTACCTATACCCTGTCATGGGTTTACCCAAGAATTTTTTTTTTTTTGTTAATACTTGCCACCACCTGTAGAGGCCTTAACTTGACAGGTCTCCTTTCAAAAATGTTAGTTTTTTGAAAAAACAACAAGGTTGTTTAAAATAAGCCTTATCTTTTAATTTGTTTAATGTATGTGATTTGTTTTGTATGGTCTTGAATATTTTAAATTTTTACTATTTCAATTTACTAATATTTGTTTTTTCAAATATTTTTAACTTTTTATTACTTGTAAACTTTGTTCATTTTACAATTTATTTCACCCCACATTTGATGAAACTTGTTTTGTGGTATTCCCTAGTGGATGGAGAGTATGGTGAGTTTTCTCTTTTTTACTATTTTATATATCGTTTGCTCCAAGTTAACACACCTTACACCACATATTCTCCTTTCCACTAGGCGAGCCTGAAGATGAAGTGATGACACTTCGAAACCCTGTCGCACTCAATGTTTTGTTAAATAATTAAACATTGACTTTCCTTGTGAAATATAAAGGACTTTTTCTCCCCCTTCGCCTTAAAAAAGTTTATTTGTGTTTTATTCCATGAAATCTGAATACGAATGTGTTTTTATGGTATATTTAAAAAAAAGAGCTTTTTTTGAATATGCAATAGTGGTTATAAAAGGTGTCTTTAATAATGAATAATCTTGTACATGATCTCAAATAAATTTGTTGAAATTAATTTCATTTATAAAAATGTCACTTCTGCTACTCCCTTATTTCTAAAAAAAAAATTGTGTCGGGGTCTGGGATTTGATTATAACAATTATTTAACATATTTACAACACATATTTCAACAAATGTTTGACGTATACTAGTTACACTTTGGTCCATCCATACTATGACCTAAATTAATTCAGGTTTCATCTAAGTTAAATATCTACATTGTTTGATGGATCTAAATATGATAACCTTCATCTACAAATATCATCACATTCTATCAAACAATTTCTAACCCTACTCAGTCGACAAAGTATTATTCTATTTCTCTCTATTCAATACTATTCTGTTTCTATACCTTTTTTATAGAATCATGATGGGAAAGTTAACGTATTATATTCTCTCTTATTTTCCATTTTCTTGTGCTTTACCAGACTCTGTGTAATTTGAAGTTTACGTCATTTTGACAAGTCACAATCTTAATTTTTAGTTAATTTCTTTTTTTCTAATTGTATAATGTACAATAATTCTGTTTCAATTAGTTATATAATCTGCTAATAAAATATCTCTGATTTTTATAAGAAAAATATATTTCTAGGTAAAATGAAGATGATGTTTGATACCATGATGGAATGTTCTAGGAATCTTCAGAACGTAGTTGAAGAACATGCTCGTTTTAACAAACCAATAGACTGTAAAGATATTCTAGAAAGATTTACAATTGATTTGATTGGAAATGTAGGATTCGGTATAGAATCGAATAGTCTTAAATATCCGGACTCAGAATTTAGAAAACAAGGACTTAAAATTCTGCAATTTACTTACAAAGAAAAATTAAAATTTTTTATATTTATGGTATTGCCTACGTGGTTGGTAAGAAAACTTGGTTTTACGATGTTGACTCAAGATGCACAAAGTTTTTTCATAAACCTTGTTCAACAAACTGTTAAACATAGGGAAGAAAATAATGTTTTCAGACAAGACTTCATGCATTTGCTCTTACAGTTGAAAAATTTTGGTCGAGTAAATAATATCAAAGAAACTACTGTGATAAACAAAAGTCACACTGTTCAAGGTCTTACACTTAATGAAATGGCAGCCCAGTGTTTTGTTTTTTACCTAGCAGGATATGAAACATCTGCGACAGCGATGACGTTTGCACTCATAGAATGTGCACAAAATATGGAAATTCAAGATAAGGCTAGAGAAGAAATATGGAGGGTTCTAAAGAAGTACGACAACAAGATGACATATGAGGCTATGATGGAGATGGATTATGTAGAAAAAATTATATTAGGTAAGTACTTATAAGTCTTTCATGTCGTGGAAAATAAAGATGTATTTGAGTAGTTCCATAGTACTTTCTATTGCTGAAGAAGTTTTAAATTAATTAAAAAATGTAAACATAAAAATGATCCAGCGTATTAGATATAAATTCAGCCTAAATGATGAAAATATCAAATACCATAGGCAATCAGCAATTAAAAAAAAGATTTAAGTCAAAATTGACAACTTATTCAAATTATATACAGCATATACAACTGTTCTGAAAGAATAAATGGTTGATCCGATGTTGAATGAAAACTTGTTGATCTTTAACCAGGATGTCGTTATCTAAGATGAAGTTGTTTTCATCTTGATTTTGTGTGTTTTCAAATCACATTTGATTGCGGATAAAATTAAATCATTATCTGTAGCTAATTTAATACCGTCACAGGTTAAGTGATAACACGTTTTTATTTGATGTAAAGTTGATTTTAAATTGAGCAAAGCAGTCTATTGTAACTATTTAAAAATAATTATTCCAAAGGGAATTTCCATACAATAGTAATTAAGGAGATTAAAAAAATTTGTTTTAAGATTTTTTCGTATAGACCCATTTTTCTAGTATTCTAGACTCTATGCATCGTTCAACCACTAGACTTTTCATTAGCAGTTAATTTATTCGTTGGTAATTCCATTAAGATTGAATACTACTGCCATACCTTCTTTTGGCTTCTTGGACTTTTAGACTTGTGTCACTTTCTACCTCTGTTTTTGGTAAATTTTTCATTAGCATCACAAACATATTACGGTTCCTTTTATATTGGATATTACAAATAAAATAACACTGCACGTAATTTATACTGCATATCCATAAACTACAAACTTGTTAGAAATTAGCAATGTTGTCATTATTTTTTTAAATTTTAATATGAAGATATGGTTATCGAAAACATTTGCATGTGATATCTGCTTTTTCAATTTAATAAAAACACAATGTATATTTCTGTAAATAGATTTTTTTGTAATTTACTGTGAGTAAATTAAACTTGAACCCGAAAGCATACACTTGCTTCTCTATCTATATTAAATCTTTATTTACAGTTTAAAATCTTTTCTACAATTTCACACAATAATTTAAACAATTCTACACTGGGCTTCTTGCTTTTTGCGGGCCCGGGAACCATCGCAGACATACCTACCTGTTAAAACCATTGTGTAATTTATATTGGAGTATTGGAAGCCCTCACAAAACAAGGATCTCGACGAGTCTCAATTCTTGCCCTGTGCGATGACGTCACCGAGCAGTCTTCCGTCTGACTAGTTTAATGTATAGGGCTTTCGATCTCCCAGCGGCCGAATAAGCGTGCAGTCCACCGTCCGACCAGATCTCTTAAGTATCTGGTCGGTGTGGATTTAGTGATGGGAAAAAGCGTTATTTTCATTTAACAGTTACAACTGTTACTGTTATTTTTAAATAACAGCTTAAAATAAAAGGTTGTCGTTATTTTTAACAACTAGTGGTTAAACTAGGAAACTACATAGTAAACGCCGTGCACATACTTAAAACAAAATAACAATACCCCAAGCCAATGACTACTAGACCATTTTTTAATGTCAGTAGACTTGGAATGGTCCAGAGTACAGCGCCAGTATGCCCAGAAACTTGAATGCATGCGACACTGAAACAACAGTATAGTAAATAATACGTAAATAACGATTGCTAGTAACGTTATTAAAATAACGCTTGCAACGCAACATGTTATTGCAAATTTGGCGGCGCGATCGACGGTAATGAATGGCATCGACCAGCACGTTCTCGTTAAGTCGCATTTCGCGAGGAAACAATCGCCAACTGTTTTGTGTTGTGGCGTTATTTTGCACCTGTTATTTTTGAACTAGATTAACAGTTATAACCGTTGTCTTCCAAATAACACCTTAAAAATAACAGATAGTTAAATAACAACACATCACTGGATGTGGATTGGCGTTAGTATGTTTGGCGCTGTGGTGAATACAACCGTGCTTTCCACGCACGTAGTCTCCTCTGTGAATGTTAGTGATGCTCTCCTTTATGTGATCAGAGAGGCATCGCTTATAGAAATTGTCACTTGGTGTGAGTATAAATTGTTTTATGTATGGTATGTCTGTATCTGTGTGAATGTCAGCAATTCCTGCATAACAATCATAGCACAGGGCTAGCCTAATACAACTGTTCTGAGCGATTTGCAGCGTGCTATAGTGAATGTTTGCCATCGAGAAAACCACTGGACAACCATATGTTAAGATAGGTCTGTAGACGGTTCTAAATTTGAGTAGTTTATTTTCGAGCGTAAGACTGCTTCTTCTTTTTAGGATGGGGTAAAGCATGCATGTTGCTGCAATACTTTTACTCATCCTGTCTAGAATGTGTGCCTTAAACGTAAATTGAAAACCAAGGTATTTTAGAATATTTTTGGCGATAATTTCATAATCTCCTACTTTTAGAGGTGACAGAATTCTCTAAATCTTCCTTTTGGTTAATAAAACACACTCTGTTTTTGTTGAATTAATGTTCATTTTATTTTCAACCAGATTAGAGATTAACGAATCATTTATGTGGACGTCCACGTCCCTAACCGCTGTCTCTGCAGATCTACCGCTTTTAAACACTCAGGTGTCGGCGTACAGCACCGTCTGTATCCCCATTGACATGTCATGGGTCATGATGATGAACAGATGCGGCGACAGTACTGAGCCCTGTGGTACTACCGCTTGCAATGTAATTGTTTTGTTAAGTTTTACACATGTTTGTCTGAGAGCCGTGAGATATCTTCGTGAGAATAGCTGACTAACATTTAACCATTTAAAACATGGAATGAATCCGGTGAATAAGTGAGTGAATGGGAAAGCAGTGCACACTTAACAGGGTGACATAATAAGTAGCAGGTTGGAATGGCGCCTCTATTCAATTGTATTAAGATTACAGCACACCGAATGGTGAAACATAAAATATAAACAAACGTCATAGTAAATTATCTGTCTAGTAGTTGCGATAAAAACACTTATCTTACCGAATATTTAAAAATATATACTCGACAGACTTGATTTATCTTTACAACATTCAATTAAACTGTGATCAATTTCGTGTAAAAATTTTTACCTTGTGAATTGTTCTAAATAAATAGATATACTCATAGATTCAATAGAAAATCTTTTTTTTTAAACCTTTTCAAGTATTTCTAATTTTATAAAGTTTATTTTGTCTAATAATATATTCAATAAATTCTTGATTGTTCTGGCATTGATGAAAATCCTTATCATCATATATAATATATTTATAATTTGTCAAATATGAACATCATTTTTGGTCGCTTCAAGTGTAGATAAAAATTTTTAATACGAGCATAGCTGCTTGTGATAATTTTCAAGTATAAATATCTAGAAAAATCGTTGTTTTGCGTCAGTAATCTAATAATTGGGTCCATGAAAAAATCCTCAAACTCTTCATTTTTTATGTATATTCAGCGATAATTCTTTAACACGGTGTCCGAAACTGCATCTGACGCAGTAGTGCGACCTCTGCAAAGAGTTAATCCATTAGAACCCTATTTTGGGGATATAAACACAGAAGATGTTACCCTGACAAAGATAGACCCTTGAATATTTCATCTGATGTGGTTACCACCACAAGAAGTGGAAGACAAGTAAAACTCCCGATTAGATTTGTATCAGAATGAGAATAACATCATTTTCACCGCGAATGGTGTGAAAAACGAAGTCTATAATACAGGAGGACCTCCTGTATATCAAACAATTGGTGTTTTAATGACAGTTTTAATATTTTTTGAAAAAATGTCATTTTAGTTTTTATTTATTTGTCAATTAGAAAGAAAGTTGTATTTTCGATAATATATTTTGAATTACCTCTGTAGTTTTCTATTTAATAATACCGGGTAGGTGTCCTATAATAAATTATTTTTTAAACTAACATTAATGGACACTTCCATAATTTTCTGTATATTCCAAGAGCTTTCCTACAGAAGCACTTACTAATTTAAAAAGTTTTTGCTGCACTCGTGCGGAAAAGTGATTCTTTCAACACTAAAATTAGTGCAGAAAACTGGACTTTTCCGCACGCTAGTAGAAAAAATGTTGAAAGGATAAAAGAATCGACTTAATGTACAAAAAATAAAAGAAATCGAATTTTTTTCATGTTTTATTTTCAACGCGTCACCTACATTCAAACCGACGAGCCGCCACTGTTTTAGAATTATTTCTAGAAGAAATTGAGAGACAATTTAAAATTGGATATATTTTGATATATATTAAAATTGACAATCGTTATTTCTAATGAATAATATAAACACATTGCCGTGTAATATTTAATAATAACAAGGGATGTTGCATTCATTAACTTTTTTGTCAATTTCTATTCTATTTTTTACATTTATTTGTGTTTCTTTTATATATATTTTCTCTTTATTTATTTTTTTGTATTATTTGAACTATCTTGTCTCAATTTTTGAATTTCTTCTTTTATATTTTCAATTTTGTTTTCCAATCTATCAATTTTATTATTCTTATCCATTTTCTTATCACTTTTATCCATTTTCTTAACGATTTCTTCTTTATCTTTTTTCCCAACGTCTTTCTTATTTTCATCCATTTTTTTAATATCTTTTTTATTTTCTTTCCTGTTTTCCTCATATTTAGTATATTTTTATCTTCCTTTTTTACTAGTCCCTTACTACCTATTTCTGCTATAGTAATCTATTTCGGTTGTTTCTTATGTTTTTCATCTTCTATTATTCGTTTTCTTCTATTATCTACTTGATTTGAAGCTATACCAACATATTTTTTTAAACCTAAAGCTTATGATAAAAATAAAATTCTGTTATAGTTATTTAATATACTAACCAATGACTGTAATCGTAGAAAGCCTGAGAAAACACCCGCCATTATATATGCTACCTCGAGTTTGCTCCAAGGACTACAGAGTCCCAGGTACCGATCTAATAATAGAAGCTGGCTCAAACGTTGACATTCCAGTACTAGCGATTCACCGAGATCCTGAGCATTATCCGGATCCTGAAAGATTTGATCCTGAAAGATTCAATGCAGAGAACAAAGCACAGAGGCATCCTTTTGCGTTTTTACCATTTGGTGAAGGGCCTCGGATATGTATAGGTGAGTAATATTACCATAAAAGCCATATATGAAACCAGTTAAGAAATATTGTATATAACAAGTTATGGGACGAGCAGAGCGAGGTAACTCAACCTGAACGAGATGTTTTAAAATACCTCTATATTATTTTGAAAATCTAGCTGATAAATCGTTTAATCAACCTTCAGAGATCGCTATTCTAATAGGTATTGACATGTATTACTAGTTTTTAAAAAGAGGCAAAGATAATCACAAATATTTCACTTAAAAGATTGTCAAATTTTCACAAAAAGTAATTATTTCAATTCCTAGATGAATTTTCGTAAACGTCTCGTATGACACAGCGGAGCTACATGGCTTAGCCGACCTAGCTCAGTGGCGTACAAATGTAATTTATACATTAGAGTTACCAATTTTTTAGAAACAAAAATTAATTAAAAAGCTTTATGACTATTTTTTCAAAAGATCTTCAATATTTGTAAATAATCTATGCAAAAATATTTAAAATTTAATTTCTCCTTGATATTTTCAAAATAATATTTTTGAACATTCTAGAAGAGATAGATTTGTCTCAATATAAACTTACATGTATTTTTTAGGTATGAGAATGGGAAAACTCCAGGACAAAGTGGGATTATGTACAATTTTGAGTAAATATAAAGTCACTATTAATGAAAAAACTGAGTTACCGCTTAAATACAATCCTGGAATGGCTACTACACTAAAAGGAAGAGTATATTTAAATTTGGAACAAGTATTTTGAGTAGTGATAATAAATTTATTTATTTTATTTTTTTTTTTAGTTTTATAAACCCATTTAGGAATCTTTTTTAGCAATTAATTAAATACTCATTAATGTTTTTATTGACTTATTATACCCATGAAAATGTATTTCTTAATTCAGCAGGTAGGAAAGACCGGATAAAATGACCCTTCTAAGATTTAAAGTGATATAACTAAAGTTGTAGTTGTTGAAATTACATTCAACATGTCCTATCTGCTAATCTAAATCAGCATTTAACAAACAAAAAAAACAAATAAAATACTAGATAGACACTCCCTGTATAAACCTCCGCACTTAACAAACAAAGAGAATAAAATACTAAATAGACACTCCCTGTATAAACCAATTATCCAAAGTTGTGAAATAACAACCCGGTTAACTTTCAAATAACCTTCAAAGACACCTGCTACTTCGCAAACAATTAAAACTAAGTCACGCGAGATTTTTTTCACCCAATCATTACTCTCATATGATACTAGATAACCAATCAGAAGAAAGCCGGTAAACCAATGCAAGCTAACAAGTATTGCAAAACAAAACGCCACTTTCGTTTTCTCAGTCGACGAAGCGACAAGTCAAAAACTCAAAGCCGGCATTCGCCGTAAATTAATTTCAAGCATTGTGCGAGTTGATTTACAAAAGTTAATATGTAACCGATCAATTTTATGTACCAAAATAGTAAATATAAATTTTTGGTCTTCTTCTTAGTATTAATTTTAAACTGGTTATTGCTTAGAGCTGCGACTTGAAAGGAAATATTATTTTCTGCCAGTGTATATAGAATGAAATATCCTACTTTTTAGATCTGGTTTTTAAAACCTAAAAATAGTAAGAGATTTAATTTTTCAAACCTTGTACTAAAACATAGTGCCTTTAATCCTACACCAAATCGTAAAGAAATAAATTCAACATGTACACAATATTTGGCATATAAAACAACAATAACTTTCTTTTTTCTTATCGAGAATCAGATCTGTTAATGCATAAAAGTCTTTGTAATATAGCAGCGAAATGGAATTTCTTGGACTGACCCTTTCGCAAAAAACTAGATCATATCACTCAAACTAAACACGTTTATGGCCAATTACATATAATTTAGTTGATATTTATATAGGTTTTCGTATAAGTAAGTCTTCCGAAGGAATTTATCAAAGCCTCAAAATTTCCATATTCTCATTCCGTACACGGAACTGAAAAAAATCCATTATGATAATGCCCAATCTACCCGATAAATTCCTGGCTATCGCTGGTTATGTGGACTTGTGACCTGCATCACCTAAATTAACGAGAATTAATAGATTGTGATAGAAACTGTGGTTAATTAAATTTCTAGTGAGCACGCAATAAGCTTGTCTTATGCCGGTTTCGTCTGTAGGCACAGCGTTATTACCACACTTACTTTGAGCTGTTCAATAAACACACTATGAGGTTGGACTTCGATATGTTTGAACTAGTCATGATTGAAAGTCGTCAATTCCATTAGAATGTAGGAACACATTGGAATTTCATTATTATTTTCTAGGTATTTATTCAGGTAATATTGCTTATTTAAATTATTGAAACAATTAAATTTAATACAAATGGTCCGGTAATACTTTTTTTCAATTAAACTTTGAATGTCTTTAATTTTTTCAAAAGTTTCTGCTTTTGTTTTGACAAAATATAAAAAGGACATGCGATTGAAATCGTCTTAAAATCCCACATATTACTTTGATCCTCCAATGAAGAGTGTGAAGAGCCCAACTATTTAGTACTTTAATGTCCAAAAGGTCTAGTTTGCCTAGTTTGGTTTTCCATAGAACATACACAATTTTGTAGGTTAATTTTTAATTTGCCATTACAGTTGATTACATCCATTAAAGCACCTCGCATCTTATCTAAATAACTGAAGTTTATATGGTTTAGCCTTCTGTGCCATGTTTTGCAAGTATCTACAGGTTATTCAGCTAGTAAATATCTTTTGGAAGTATCTATTTTATATACACCATTACTCAAGAAAGCTTCAGCTATTAGAACTCTATTTCTGTTTAAGATCTTACAACTTTCGTTGTTAAATTTAACTGAATATCCATTTTTTAAAAACTCACTGATAATATGGACCAGGACTGAAGCCTTTGAAAATAGTAAAAAGTAAAAAAAAAAAATAATAAATAAATAAAAAATAAATTTTAAAGAGAATTTTATATAAAAAATGTAACTGCTGCAATTTTTTTCAGTAAAAAAATTGATTTAACAGAGGATAGCATTCGTAAACTAAATAAAAAAACATTGCCGCTATTCATGCTATCCTTCGAAAATATTGAAGATATCAAGAAAATCTAAGGGTTAGAATAGAAACCATAAGAAAGTCAAAACTAGTTCCGCAATGCAAAAACTGCCAGCTATTTGGACATGCACACAAAGTTTGTAAAAGAGAATCAAGATGCGTAAAGTGCGTAGGGAAACATCATACAAAGGATTGTGTAAAAAGTCCAGACCAACAACCGAAGTGTATAAACATCCTGCTAACTACAGAGGATGTGAGGTAGCTAAAACCTTTTAGATAAGGAAGGATAACACCACTATACCTAAAATAATGACGAAATGAAATGAAGTAACATATTCTCAGGTAAAAAACTTGCAGAAGCAACCAATTCAAAGGTCACAACCAGCCATTAATCCCACACCACAAATTGCACAGCATACTACACAGTCAGTCAAACCAGCAGAAAGTACCACCCATGAACTATTATTATTATTATCCTTAATAACCAGAATAGACAAGCTAAGGCAACATACGTGTCTCCCTCCATTTGTGGACTTTCACAGATAAGCTCCTAGGTTACATGTTTTTACAGACCTTTTACAAACACTATATATTCCAGACTTAGCAGCCTTTCGAAATTATTTACCTACGAGCTGTATACAATTACTACAATAATACTTATAATGTATTTAAAATTTTTAGACGCATTTTTTGTTGTTGTTCAACTCTAAACTTTATAAAATAGTATCTCGATACTGCTGGTTAAATCTTTCACTCTTTTATCGATTTGTAACAGTCTATTAAGCGACATCCACTGTCTATGTTTACTTTAATATTTAATCTTACGTTCGAGAGATAAAACCGAGAAAAATCGTTGGAACAAATGGAGGCAAATCACCATTCTTACAAAATTCAATGCGCATTTAGTATCTACGTGAATGAGGCTAACAACGCTTTCATTTACGCCGATAGTATGGAAAAGATTACGGAAAATCGTCGTTTCGAGAACAGTTGATAAAGAGACAATCACTATATTGATTACTGAAATCCTGGGAGAACAAAACACTTTAAAAATCATTTTCATGTGGCTTCTGATAATAAAAAGACATCAATAATAATATATATAAAATTTTTTTTTTCAAATTTTTAATTTTTTATTTAAGTAAATTGTTAATAAAAAAGTGAGAAATAACAATTTTTTAATTTTTCCAACGGGAATCTCTTCTGAGACTGTTCAGAAATTGCTCCAAAAAAGGAAAAATCTCAGATTTGTTATTTAACAATTATCGCACTGTTCAAGTAGGAAAAAATTGTTAATTAACTAAGACATAATTAATAGAAAAATGGCGATAAAAATTTTTTAACCGCGGATCAGTATATGCTTCAATTTTTTCTAGTCGTAATTTTCAAATTTAACAAGCTTAAATAATATAAAGTCTCCGTTTTCGGTCATATTTTGAACCCTCTGGGTAAATTAGAAATATTGGTCTTACAATTCCGGGAGACTTTTTGGTGGGAAATTTCCTCCTCTTTTTGTGTCTTTTCTCAAATTTAAAAAATGCCTCTTGCATTTTTTCCTCGTTCATATATTTTTGATGTGGAGAAAAAAGATTGACCCAAAAAGCACTTGTTAACTAGACTATATATATTTATTAACCATTTAAATTAATATTGATTTTTTTCAATATTTTTTCATCATTATTCAAAATAAAATGCAAGTCGACTTATTTTTTCTTTTTTTTTTGTTCTTAAACAATCGGCGCTTATTAAACTACTTTAAGGGGGAATTATTTTATTCCGAAGTTGTGCGAATGGTCCCAAGTAACTTAAATTCCTATATTTGAAAATTTTGTACTTACTAATAGATGGAATAGATCTGTCTTTACCTGAAACAAAATAATATTTCATTAAAAAAATTGGTACAATAATGAAAGAACGAGAACCAATGTCAATACCACATATTTGAGGTGAATTATAACTCGTATTTGGATAATGTTGTGAAACAATATACAAGGTGTTGTAAGTTGTAACACATCAATCTCGTTTTGCCCTGTTTTATGAGTGTAGGATTACAATTACAATTAGGCAACATGTTTTTCATATCGCTTTGCTTATCGCTATTTAGCCAGAAGGGGACCTAGCAAAAAGTTGTGCTTTGAGAAGGTCGGAGAATTATTTCCTGCGCGCTTTGACCGATCATGTATGTATGTATTTTTAAAACGTCATTGATTTATCATTTTTTTATTCAATTTCAGGATTCTGAAAAAAGATATTTTCCCACATATTCAGATAAAATTTGTCTTTTGGAAATCGTTATAAAATTTTAACGTTAAACAAGAAATTAAAAATTATGAAAAAGTACAGTCCTTACTTATATCTACTTTTGAAAACTTAAATGAGACCTTTTCTTATGTTTCTTCATTTTATTTTTTTTTTATATTTAGGTTTAACAGACTTGGTAGTGATTTTTATCCAAAATAATAAATAAAAATGAATTAACACTGAAATATTTAAATTTTTAATATAATATTGCGTATAAGGGAGGGGGAAGTGCTGTCACTTTTGTTTAGGCATGTCATCTTCATATTATTTAACCTCAATATTTTTTACACACTAATGTATCTATTATATATTTCTTTCATTTAGAAATAACATTCTTAAAATTCAATTTCTTTAGGTTTAATATTATGTATCCCTCACCTGACAACAACATTCTCTTATATTAAACAAGTAA